TATATGTTTGCCTCTGTATTCCTGGGTACTTTGACCATATCAGTGCTATCCTTGATCATTTGATAATATTGTTATTGTTATTGCATAATAACTGACCTCTCAGGCATATTATATGAATTTTATCTTTTTTTAAAAAAAATGTTTATTTATTTTGAGAAAGAAAGAGGGGAGAAGCAGAGAGAGAGGGGAGAATCCCCAGCAGGCTCCATGTTGTCAGCACTGAGCCTGACACAGGGCTTGATATCACAAACCATGAGATCATGACCTGAGCCGAAACCAAGAGTCAGACGCTTAACTGATTGAGTCATCCAGATGACCCTAAAAACTATATCTTTAAAAATTTTTTAATGTTTATTTATTTTTGAGAAAAAGAGAGACAGAGTGTGAATAGGGGAGGTACAGAGAGAGAGGGAGACAGAGAATCTGAAGCAGGCTCCAGGCTCCTAGCTATCAGCACAGAGCCCAATGCAGGGCTTGCACTCACTAACCCAGAGACCATGACCTGAGCCAAAGTCAGTCGCTTAACTGACTGAGGCACCCAGGCACCAAGAACTATATCTCACATGCAGCAATGACCAAAGCCTTGGGCAAGCATAGGTATGTAATAAATTATTTGTTGATTTATAGACAGAATGATAGTGAATGATGTTGAATGAGGAAAGCTTATAAAATCAGTGAGGAGAGGGTTTGGAGAAGAGGTCATGTGGATACTCTCTCTTGTTAAGTTATAAAGAATAAATCCAGGTAATAGTTTTAAAAATATCATGTCCATTTGTCAGAGGATATAACTTAAAAATTGTTTTTGGAGAAATATTCCTTCCTGAAGAATATAGTTGAGAACCATTGACATACACAAATGTAGGCTTTCCTTTAAGTAGGGGAGGGGCTTGACCATGGCATTTCTTACTTCCAACATTGAGAGTCTTTGATACAGTTCCCAAACTGTAAATTTGACATTGTTATTATGAGGAAAATTAATATCCCCAAATTCTCTACTGGAACTTAGACTCTAATAAAAAATTGACCTCCATAAACCAAATCTATGAAAAAATACACACAATGAATCTTACATACTGAAAAATAACAAACTTTTTATGTAAAGAACAAAGAGATCTCTGAGTTGAATTGTAAAAATATTATTGCTATAGGCCATCTAATGGTATACTGTAACCACAATTACTTGTAACCAAAGTGTGTGGTAATTCCATAAAGCTGCCACACTAGTATTCCAAATAACACACCTAACAGGAAAAATTCAAAAGTGCTTCACTCACAGCAAGATATAAAACTGTTGGATTTTAATTTTTAAACAAAAATTATTGATGATTTCTTTCATTTGTGGTTTCTACTGCCTTTCTATGATGGGCTCTCTTAGGGGTTGAGTTGTGTCCCCCAAAATGTTTGCTGGAGTCCTAATCTAGAGTGACTCAGAATGTGACTATATTAGGAGATAGGGTCTTTTTCCCCTTAAGCATTTATTTGTTTGTTTGTTTGTTTGTTTTGAAAGAGAGAGAGAGCGTGCAAGAAGGGGAGAGACAGAGAGAGGGAGAGAGAATCCCAAGCAAAGCCCCATGTGGGGCTAGAACTCAGGAATCATGAGATTATGGTCTGAGCTGAAATCAAGAGTTGGCAGCTTAACCAACTGAGCCACCCAGGTGCCCCAGGAGATAGGCTTTTTAAACAGGTGCTCAAATTACAATGAGGTTATTAAGGTGGGCCCTAATCTCATGGGACTGGTGTCCTGACAAGGAGTGGGGGATTAGGACACAGGCACACACAGAGGGAAGACAGGATCAAGACAAGGAGGAAAGGTAGCCATCTATAAGTGGAGAAGAGAGGTCTCAGAAGAAAGCAATTCTGCGACACCTGATCTTGCACTTCTAGCCTCCAGAATTGTGAAAAATTAATTACAGTCGTTTGAGCCCCCTACTCTGTCATACTATGTCCCAGCAGCTCTAGCAAACGATAACCAGCACCTTTCCACCCTCCCCTGTGGTCATGCATAAGGTGTTTTGTTTCCCCAGTGACCACTGTCCTGCTCCTCTGCAGGTCAAAGCATCACACTGCCCAGCTGATCTGGATGGAATTTAATTTTGGGATCCACAATCAAGTAACCAATCTGACTCTTATGAGAAAGTTTCCATGAGGACATTTACAGGTATCAGAAGAGAAGCATGGCAGCTTTGAAAAATGATGGGCAGCAGATGAAATTAAGAATGAGACTTTCTCAGTGATCCAAATGCACCCTAGAAGTTGAACCCATCTTTGTGTGGAGATGCTCTGAGGAAACGAACCTATTATCACTTGTGCAATGACAGATGCCATTCTCAATTTTGAAATAGAGTTCTGCTGCTTCCTAGCCGTATGCCTCCTTTTCTTAGGTACGTATCATTTTCCATATAAAAAAGTAGGGTTAATAGAGTGATTAGTTTCTTAGAGTGAGTATGAAGATTACCTGACTTAACCCGTGTGGTTGGCTGAGAGAAAGAAATCCATAAATATTAACTTATCATTAATTTATTATTGATAAATATTATTCTTATCATTAATATTAGGTAGTAGTAGTTCTGTATGCATTGTGTCTTTAATGTGATCTTTTCTAGCCTCACTTGTATTGTTTTCTTATACATTTTGTCTCAGATCCCTGATTATAAGATGTAAAGACATAAGGTTAATATACCCCAAAACATAGAGAGTTAGTTTCATATAAAATGATGTGGGATTTTTTCCTAAATTATTGTCATTATTGCATTGGGAGGGGTTAAGAAGATTAGTTAGAGAGTCTGAATAACTCAGTCTAGGGGGAATATATGGCAAGCCAGAAATATCATATTCTAATTAAAGATGGTATGGTTATGAATTAACCATAAATTCAAATTATGGACAGATAATGTATATCATCTGTATTAGCAGTCACACATTCTAGTGGAAGTCACCTTTATTTCATATTGCATATTCAGAATTTGCAAATGGCTGATGCTTCAGCATTGTGGAAATACTCAACAGTTTTGAGGGGATTTTGACATGTAGTTCAAAAATGTACTTCCTATTATAAATATGCACTGGAAATAATTTCATGAGCATGCTATGATTCAAAGTATTGATGTGGAACTGAGGATGATTTTATTATTTCATATGCTCAAGCAGTAAGATGCATGTTGGATTTATTTAGAGTAGCAGTTTTTCAAATAATAATTTATTTACATAATCATTAATACATTCTAGACCACTAAAACTGTCCCATTTAAAAAAATGTATAGTATGATTTTTGGCTTTGCATCACTGGAAATACTTGCTGATGGATAGATTTGTTTTAATATCAATCGATCACATATATGCAATTATTTTTATATGTTAGAGTGAAAACAAGTTTTATGTTAGAAGACATGGAAATGAATATTATGTCATAATTCTAAACACTCAAGAAGTACAAAATTGATGAAAGCTTAAGAAATATGCTATGATGTTAAGACATGAGAATATTTGCCTCACACACAATGGCAAGTCACATTTTTTTTTCATGAATGAATATTTTCTTTTAAGAATATGTAAAAAAAAACACACACTCAAAGAATACTTAAAAGTAAAGAAATTCAGGCACAATCAACTCACTATGTTTATATAGGAAATAAAGAGAAAGGATGAAACAAGGATATTGAAACAGAAAAAAAATCTATCAGATTATGGTGAAGAAGAATTTATTAAATTTAGCTCATACTAACTACTTATTAAATAGTTACTATGTGCTTTACATGCTGTAAATTACTGAGTCACTTAAAAATTTTTTTAAAAAGGTGAAAAAGGAGAAAGGAGATGGAGAAAAGAAAAAGGCCACAATCACAGTCCTCTCCTTCATCCCAAACTAAAACTACGTTTTAGTTCAGAAAATACTGTAGTTAAAGTCTCCAATTAAATATACTTAGCAGATTTACCTTTCAGTTATGAAACTAGAGAGAAACCAAATCACCCAGAAGAACTTCGTCCACCTTGAATATCAGCATAGAGTTGAATATCTCCAGCAAGTTTTTTGTAGCTGTTCTTGACAGCTACCTGTATCCTGCTCTGATCTTTGGGCATGGCATCCTCTTTACTGGATGGCTCTGACTGCCAGAGAGGGTGAATGTGCACCACTCCCTCCCTCCCACCTGCTAAAGTCACCAGGTACATGGAAAGCCATTTCATGTGGGCACAGAACCCTCAAAAGTAGACATCAAAAACGCTCACTGTGGCTTCATTCCTGGAAGCCATTTTTACCATGGCTGAAGAAAGCACCTTGAGCACTGTGACTCTAATGGCACCCACAAAATAACAAGGTATTAAACAAGCCTCGAAGAGAAACAATGAGGGGGAAGTATTTGAATTAACCAATCCAACCAAATCTAATGACACATTCAATCAATCTAAACAAGGTTCTTTAATAACCTAGATTTTGCCTACATTCTCAAAAGAAATGTGAAGTAATGTGAGTGAGTACTTCTCTCAGATTGCCCTAGGGCATGCTGCAATCTTCATTGTAATTTGGGCCAAGAAAATTGGGGAAAATAGGGAGAAAGTGCAGGAACTCTTTGAATTCTGGCTACAAATATAAATAGGCTCCTCATAATTTCCAGCAAAGGTGTTTGACATGGTGGACATAGGCACAGGCTTGGACAACTTACACTTGTGGGGAACAAATCACAGATTATGCAATTTAGGGCCACAGGAAAAGTCTTTAGAAGTCATTTGGCTCAGTCCCTCATTTTTGATGTGAGAAACTGAGACTCAAAAGATGAACTGACTTCCCCAAGACAACATCATGGCTTCCTGGGACAGAGGGGTCGAGCGCTTAGATCTTCTGTCACCCACTTGAGGTCTTGAAAATTATGATACAAGTTGTCAGGGGTTACTGGAGTATGGAGACCACATCTCCAACATTTCTTAAGATAAGAAGTGAAATATAAATATAACTGATGCTTCCACTCCAATCTTCAATTCCAAAGAGAACAAATCACTTTACTCACCTGCAGGGAAAAACTCGCCCATTTTCTTTCTGTAGATTTTAAAATCGACTTCTAAGAAGACACAGAAGATGATCCGATCCACCTAGAGGCAAACAATAAATACTCAAAGTGAGAGGTAATATGGTGTCCCTGGGATATGAGAAATATTCCACAACATAGTCTTGGAACAACAACAACAAAAAAGAAACAAATGGAAAAGCCTCCTGCAGATTCTTGGTGCCACACTGCTAACTATATGACAGTGTTGAGTGAAGTTCAAGTGTGTGTTTGTGTGTGTGTGTGTGTGCGCACTCTTTATGTAAATAAGTCATGGGCTCTTTGGCGGAAAGATGTTGCATAAATCAAATAAGAAATAATAAATGACAATAAGCCACTTTGCAGGAAGCTATAAATAAATAGGAGATTCCGACAGGATATGTAGACTTTATGTCCTATAAAACAACCATAGGAGAGGTGTACAGCAGAATGACAATCAAGTATGTCAGTAAACAAAGAGCTCTTTGTCCTACTCTTAGACAAATATGTTTATCAAACCTGTTAGTATTTGAACACGGCCTAAAATGCTTCTGGCAGTTTAATTTGCTTTTAGCTTAACATACTCAGAAATGCAACAGAAGTAAAATATAATTAGTATACAATGACATGAGGTCATTATAACTTTAATCTGGTAGATATTGTTGACTAAGTAAATGCCACCTCAAGAGTATAACACGTATATGATCTCTTCTTTCTGTTTTGAGAGGGCTTCTATATATAAGGTGTTTCTTTGAGCATCCAGAGAATAATATGGTAAACAGAGAAGAAAGATGGGGTACATCTAATAGCTCGCATATATCTGATATGAAATCAGTGGCTCAATTTCATGTCTTGAAAATAAACACCCCTTTAGTTCTTTTATTTTAGCAATCTACGAAAAATTAAAAATTACTCGATCTATCAAACTGCAACTGGTAATTAGAACACCAAGGGAAGCATTTCTTATGAAAATGGGGAATAAAAGTGGAGTGGACACAGGGCAGGACATGAACGAACCCAAATGGATATCATTCCCCAAGCCCTTCAGCTCTCTCAGCCTGTGGGGTACAGAGTCAACACTAGGCAAGTCCAAATTTCCCAGCAGGACAGAAGGTCTGCAGGGGTGGGCTGGCAGGGGATGGCTAGGACAGACACAAGGAAGGGTCAGGATTCCCCGCTGGAAGCTCAGAGATATGGCTCCCTGCTCCCTGCACAAGTGCAGATAGACCGCCTGCTGGGCAGTTGCTGTACCTCTATGATGTAATCACTAAATACCACTCAGCCCCAGTAATCCCCACCCATAGAATGGATTATAAGAGAAAGCATCTGGCATTCAGAAATGGAAGGACTGGGTTGCAAATAAACCTTGATTCCCCCCTCCCCCGTATTCACTTGAGTTTCTGCTGTCCAGTCCTGTGTGCATATCATTAACATTTTCTGCAAATGCAACAACCATTACCATCAGTTCACTCTTCGCGTGAAATATAAATTTAGTGGAATAAATGATTAGCTGTCTGTGCAAAACCGAATGCTCATCTCTGCTCTCCTTCTGGTGTGTTTATGCCCTATAGCTAAAGATAAGAATCATAATGTTGAGCAATAGAAATGAGTTTCAAAAAACATTCTCTACGATACCATTTATATGCATTTTTAAAGCACAAAGATATAACAGTGCAGGGATTCATTTAAAAGCACCGATATACAGAAACATTCTTAGAAATGTCACACGTTAATTTCAGGAAAGAGACTTGAGAAAAATACAGCAAATGGGTAGTAGCTATGAAACTATGGGGCAGGTACATAGGTGTCATATTATTTTCTATACTTTTCTCCATATTTGAGAAATTTTATAATTAAAAGTCCTAACACCAAAAATAAGACTGTGTTAGACATACTCTACTCTCTAGCTGTATTGAACTGCTTGTCATTCTCAAACACCATAATTATCCTTACTTTGCACCTATCATGGTTGACTTTTTTGCCAGGCTTCAGATGGTCAGATTATTTCTAAAGCCGCCTAACTGAGATCAAAATCAAAACAAGAAAATTTGATTCAAAGCAGATCTAATGAGACCAAACTGGAAAGTCTCATTTTTATTCACTTCTCCCTATTTGTGTGTCACTCAATATAAATTATGGAATTATTTTTAACACTTCTGTTGCTTGTATGTATGTGTGTGTTTCCTGTGTGTGTTTGTATGGGAAAGGGCTAGTGGTGGTAAGGCTCTTCAACTCTGTCAGTGGAACTTTTAACCACCACAGAAACTAAATGCAGATTTCTTAAATATTGCAAAGGAATATAATCCACCTTTTAGAATTTTAGGTTTTGTTACCATGGAAATGGTAAAAGTCCAAATTTCAGCAGCCTGCTTTATTTTCCCAGAGATGGGAAATAGAGTAGATGGATGATGGAGGAAAAATACTTTTATTTTAAACTAATTGAGTGGCCCATTTCCCTGCCCTGACGCTGAGGCATAATACTGAAAACATCTTGGAAACAAGTTGAATCCAAGAGCTAACCCTCATCTACCAAGTACTTGTTATGTATGCATATATGCATGTACTTATATATGTGTACATAAACTTCTTATCTGGGGTCATTGTTTGTTAGTTGACAAGCTCTGTGTTTATAAACTCATAGTGGATATAGATAACTGCTTGTGATAGTTGTATTTTCCAAGATGGCAGGCAATAAGATATCCCATCCCTCAAATCCTCTTAAAATGTAATGCTAATACTCCTTTCATTGAGAATAGGATCTATATTTCCTCCTCTTGAATCTATGATTACAAAAATACCATGTGACTTCTAAGTCTATGTAATAAAAGGCGATACACTTTCTGCCTGGTCCTTTTGGGAGGATTGCTTTTGTACCCAATCTTCACGCTATGAGGAAGCAGAGGGACCACATGGAGAGTTCATGTGTATAAGTTCTAGCCAATAATCCTACCTAAAAGTGAGTAGCCTCTCAATGATTTCACCTCCTAGTTTTTGATGTACCCCAGGAGATGCCATGTGGATCAGAGGTAGGTTGTTCCTACTAAATGCTGCCCAAATTGTAGATTTGTGAACAAAACAGAAATACTTAGCCAGAAAACTAATATTCTTCTGACTTCTTCCTATTGCCAATTGTATGGATCCTTGCTTTTCCAACTCTGTAGTACTGGATCTCTCTTGAAAAGCTCATACTGAATGGATCAAGATCAAGTAGAAGGCACAGTGTGGTGACAAGAAAAATATAGAAAGTCTAACTGGTACATGGCTGAGAGGTTGGAAATCTTACTTGCACAAAGGGGAATGAGCTGGGTGAACCATTTTAGCCCCAGATAAATTACATCAGAATATATAAGAATGCCTCACTATTGAGTACTGACGCTCAGGAGCATATTTTCAATGTTTCTTTTATGTTGGGCAATAGAACAATTTTGTAAAATGGTTGTTCTTGAGAGACTACTCATGAATAAATATTCATCTATTTAAGAGATACTAGCTGAGTACCTCCAATTTCTTGGGCCTAGGCCACATGCCATTCTCTCACAAGAAAACTTGAATCCAGAGTTGAGGTGCTTTTTTTTCCAAGGTAAAATGATGAGTGGAAAAATCTCAGGCATCTTAACTTCACATTCAGTGTTCCTTCTGTGGTATCACCCAGATGGAGATACATGGCACTGAGTTTCTAGGCCTGCCACTAGCTCTGTGATATTGGACAAGCCATTGATTCTATGGGATCCAGCTTTCATGTCTTATAAAGAAAGGATTGAATTAAATAACATCTATAACTTCTTTCTTTATTTTAAAAGTTTTTTTTAATGTTTATTTATTTTGAGAGAGAGAGAAAGAGAGAGAGAGAGTTGGGGAGGCTCAGAGAGGGAGGAAGAGAGAAATCCCAAGCAGACTCCTTGTCGCTGTCAGTGCAGAGCAGATCAGGGGCTCAAACTATCAACTGCAAGATCATGACCTAAGTCAAAACCAAGAGCTGGACACTTAACTAACTGAGCCACCCAGGCGCCCCTCTTCCTTTCTTTTTAATATCTCAGTCATAGTCTATCCCTGTGGTAGTTTTGTATTCTGTCAACTTAGCTAAGCTGGAATAACACTTCTCCAAAAGGTTCTGCGTTAACGTTGGGCACAGAAAAATTTCCATGAGATCTTGTGGGCAGAAGTGGACCACAGACATGGTACTAGGCAGATGGCTGGAGGACTCCAGATAGGTGGATTGCTGCTCCTCAGCTGGGTGCCGGGTAACAGCTGCGCTCATGGCTTCTCCAGCTCCTGCTCTTTCTCCCAATTCAGGTTCTCTTAGTCTAGGCTGGGCATGCATGTAGCTCTGCTTCAAAGGCACCAGGTTCTTCAGCTTGGCTTTGCAGCTTTGGGGTTCCATCCAGTGGGAGACAGATGCATGTGGCAGTTTGTCCATGTGGGTTCGAGTTTGCTCCTAAGGTTTCTACTTTGACCTTGTTCTCCCCAACTTTGCATCGAGTTTTCCTCTCCATCACTTCTTTTTATTTAAAATGTTTTTAATGTTTATTTATTTTTGAGACAGAGCATGAGTGGGGGAGGGGTAGAGAGAGAGGGAGACACAGAGTCTGAAGCAGGCTCCAGGCTCTGAGCTGTCAGTGCAGAGCCCAATGCAGGCCTGAACTCACGAGATGTGAGATCACAACCCGAGTTAAAGTCAGATGCCCAACCCTGTGGGGATGAGCACTGGGTGTCATATGGAAACCAACTTGACAATAAACTATTTAAAAAAAAGTCAGATGCTCAACCAATTGAGCCACCCAGGCAGCCCTCTTTTTTATTTTATTTTTTTAATTTTTAACATTTACTTTTGAGAGATAGAAATGGAGAGAGAGAGAAAGAGAGAGAGAGAGAGAGAGAGAGAAAGGGAGGCAAAGCAGGTTCCAGGCTCTGAGCTGCCAGCAAAGAGCCCAGTGTGGGACTTGAACTCATGAACCAGGAGATCATGACCTGAGCCAAAGTCAGAAACTTAACCAACTGAGACACCCAGGCACCCCTCCTTTGCATCACTTCTTGACCTGTCTCTTGACCACCTGCCCTGCTGACACACTCCAGGCCTGAACAGATACAGAGGCAATAGCCTTCCATAGACTCCTTTCATCAGCTCTCTCTCATGGGTCCTGGTTAAGGGCTTTACTCTGCTTAGTCAACTATCCCCTTGACATTTACTTCCCTGGTTTCAACCACAATTAAATAAGATCTAATCCCTCTAATAAATCCTGCACTCACAAGGTTCTGCTTCCCTGATTAAACCCCAACTGATGTATACTTTAATAACATTTCATTGAATAACACATACAGGAACACAATAAAAGGTTAAAAATAAGAAGCATTCCTTTTTTGGAAGTGTACAACCTGTCAAGGCTACTCAAATTCCAATTACTTCCTTCCAGACGAACTCTGATGGGTTCCAGCCCATCTTCCTGGTGAGCTTCCTAAAGTGTACCTACACACTTTAGTACTTAAAGCAACTCTGTGTACTTGAAATGACTCACACAGTTTTTGTTCTTTTATTTTTTTTAATTTTTAATGTTTTATTTATTTCTGAGAGAGAGAGGGAGAGAGAGAGACAGCATGAGCAGGGGAGGGTGAGAGAGAAAGGGAGATACAGAATCTGAAACAGGTTCCAGGTTCTGAGCTAGCTGTCAGCATACAGCCTGATGCCGGGCTCGAACCCAGGAACCGTGAGATCATGACTGGAGCCAAAGTTGGACGCTTAACCGACTGAGCCACCCAGGCGTCCCAATTTTTGTTCTTTTATAAACAAATTTTCAGGAAACTCAGATGGGTCCTCAGGCTAAAACATAATTGTAAATAATACAAGGAGCAATATTAATATTTTTAGGAATTAACAACTTAACTGTAGTCCTCATTCTACCTTAAACTGGAACCCTATGACAAATTGGGTGGTGCTCATTTTTTGGGGTGTGCATAGCATAGCTTCTGATGTATAATAGGAGCGTTGTAAATATTTGCATAGTACATGTTTAGGCAAATAGATTTGACTAAAATATAAATATATGGCAGATATTTTTCAAGGGTGTTTAGTTCCAGACCCAAAAAATAACTTTTTTTGAGAGACAAACTTTCCTTTATGTTTGCCAGAAGACCTGAGAACAGAATTACAGAGAAGCCTGAGTGCTTTTGAAAGAAGAAAGGAGCTATATATAAAGGTCACAAGGTATTTGTTACCAACTGTCATTTATCCAATGATACAATGCTGAGCACAATGCCTTTTGAACTCAGTGCTGATGTTTTCAACAGGGTGCTTGTGAGTTGCAGAATAGAAACAATGATGATGCCTGTAAACTGCAATGTATTAAAAGTTAAAAAGCTTTTTTTTCTTAATGAAAAGACAATATCAGGTGTTGGCAGAAATGTGAATTAACAAGAACGAAATTTCCTACACTGCTTTTGGGAGTAAAAATTGGTGCAACCACTTTGGAAAATTATTTGGCATTATCAAATAAATTAGTTGAATTTGTGCTATCTTGTTCTACTATCCAATTTTACTTTTAGGTAAACATCCAGCAGAATATGCATGTATGTTCACAAAAGGACACATATCGCAATATTTGTAGCAGCACCATTTGAAGTATCTTCAAACTGGAAGCTACTTAAATGCATAAAATGGTAGAATGGAAAAACAGTTGTGATCTATCCATGCAGTGGGATATTACAAAAGAATGAGAATAGAAAGTTTTCAACTAGGGGCACGTGGGTGATTCAGCCAGTTGAGTGTCCAACTTCAGCTCAGGTCATGATCTCACCACTTGTGAATTTGAGCACCGCTCAGACTCTGTGCTGACTGCTCAGAGCCTGGAGTCTGCTTCAGATTCTGTGTCTCCCTCTCTCTCTGCCCCTCCCCTGTTTGCACTCTCTCTCTCTCTCTCTCAAAAAAAAAAAAAAAACTTAAAAAAAAGAAAGTTTTCAACTACAAGCAATTATATAGACAAACAGAATATTGAGTAAAAGAATCCAGAAAGAAAGGATACACACTGGGTGATTCTATTTCTATAAAGTTCAAAAATATTAGAGAAATAGTCCATATGATCCATGGTGTTAGAAGTTAGTATAGCAATTACTCTGGGGAGAAGGTTGGTGAAAAGGGACCAAGGGGAGTACCTGGGATGCTGGGTTTTTGATCTGGGTGCTGGTTCCATGGATGTGTTCAGTTTGTGAAAATTCATCAAGCAGGGTACTTGGGATCTGTGTACTTTTCTTTATGTTGTACTTCAATAAGAATCTTTTTAAAGGTTCAAGGTTTCTGTTACAGTTGTCTTGGTCAACAATCAAAAATCTATTTTCATTGACTTTGAGGTCAAAAAAGTCCTTTAAAAGCTGACCTTCTAAAAGCAATCTCTCTCTATATTTCCACCGATGCCAACTGTAGTTCACCCATCAAGGCATCAAGGAGTAAAGATGTATTTCTTTCACCAAGATATCCATTAATCCACAGTGGGGGGGTTTATGCCCCATAAACATGATGACAAACATTCTATTAATCTTTTTCAGCATCATATCCGCTGCCCCTGAAGAGGGTTACACAGTGAGGCAGTTTTGGAGTACGTACAGCTGACCTCTATTTTCCACGGCTACCAGTCCTAGGGCAGCTGACACAGCCAAGATTATCCTGTGTTCAGCGAGACTGGGAGAATGAATGGATTCTGATGAATGTAATTTTCTTTCCCAGTGACAAATGACAAACATTGAAAGATTTGGTGTGCATGCAAATACCGCTTTAACTAAGAACTGATAGATGGTTATCCAGGGCAAATGCAGTCTGATGGGCTTTGGGGGTGAAGTCTCAGCCTTCCTGAAAGATAACCCAGCAGCCTCATCATGCACCAGCTTGGATATTGGGGTATCTTCATCAAATAGTGGCTGCTGCTAATAAGTGAATGAAACTTCAGGGATTAAGCATCAAAGTTGTAGGACAGGTTGTGAGGGAGGTGGAAGACCAGGACAACCGGAGCTTGCTTGGTGTTACGAGTGAATCAAGGTTACACAGAGTAACAAAGGGGCAAGGTCACTATTGATTCATTAAAGAGCAAAAACAAGAAGTTGGGATGTGTGGGTGCTAGCTCCCCCTCCCCCAACTGGTGGAATAAAGGAGACCAATCTGTCCTTCTCCCAGTGTATTAGTTTTCTGGTGCTGCATAACAAACCACTACAACCTTACTGACTTAAAGCGACAAATTTCATTATCTTGTAGCTTCTGTAGGTAGGTCAAAAGTCCACTTCCAAAGGAGCTGAGTCCTCTTCTAAGGGTCTCAAATGCTATAATGAAGGTTTTAGCTGCACTGCTCTTCTCACCTGAGGCTGTGGTCTCCTTGCAAGCTCATTCAGGTTGCTGGAAGAATTTAGTTACTTATGTTGGTAGGACTGAGGTCCTTGTTTTCTTTCTAGCTGTCAATCAGGAACAGCCTTTAACTTCAAATGAGATTGGGCACATTCAGGGTGGCATGGCCATAGGCTATAGACGTTAACTTCTACAGGCCAACAACAATTTCTTGCCAGGGAGCCCAGAAAGGCAGTTGAGGACACAGGTGCTTTCTTTCTTCCAGGCTGGCAAGAGTGTTTCTCTATGACTTTCTCCATCTCTAGAATCTAAAGTTCTTTTAAGAGTCCACCTAATTAGGTGATCCAACCAGTCATTCTCCTTTTTAATGAACTCTATTGATTAAATGCCTTAATTGCATCTATAAAAATCTCTTTTGCTTAATCCAGGGAGTAACTACCCCATCTATTCACAGGGATAGTCGAGGGGAGAAGACTGGACAAGGTGTGTGCACAAAGAGGTAGCCGTCTGGGACATATCTGAGGCTTCTGTCTCTCACACTCAATCACCTCCATGTAACTAGCTGCCAATGTTCCAATCTGGACTTGACTTTGAGCAGGCCATGTAACCTTTCTAAACTTCAGTCTCCTTATCTCTAAAATGGAAACATTGACCTTGAGGTGGTTGGTATGTTAGTTTTCCATTGCTGCATAAAAAATTACCACAAACTCTGGCTTATGACAACCCCAGCTTATTAGCTTACAGTTTTGTAGGCCAAAGGTTTGGTATAACTGCATGGTATAAATGGGTTCTCTGAGCAGGTAATCTTAAAGGTAAAATCAAAGTGTTAGCTGGACTGAATTCTTGTCTGGAGGCTATGAAGAGAAATCCACTGCTAAGTTCATTCTTGTTTTTGCCAGAAATTCAGTTCCTTGCAGTTGTAGGACTGAGATTTCCACGTCCTCACTGGCTATCAGTTGGGGATCAATCTCAGCTCCTAGGGCCACCATTTTACTTGCCAGACATCTACCTCCACTTTCAAGCCAGCAAAAGTATATCAAATCCTTCTTGATTTTGAATCTCTGACCTCCTTCATATCTGACCTCTAGACCCAGATTTAAAGAACTTCTATGATTAGTTCAGACCCACCTGGAAGTCTCCCTATCTTAGGTCAGCTGTTTTGAGACCTTAATGACATCTCTAAAATCCCTTCACAGCAGTATCTAGGTTGTTGTTTGAGTAACTGGAAGAAGATGTGTACACTAGACATTGGAATCTTGGGAGACTCTTAGAATCCTACCTGCTACAGTTGGCTATAATGACCATATGAGATATTTGATCTGAAGTGTTTGGCAAAGAGTCTGACATAAAGTAAATGCTCCATAAACATTGGTTATTTATTGATAAAGTCCCTATTCATAAGGTGCCTGGAATACCTAGCAAATTGCTGACATATTGATATAATCACTGTTCACTTGGTGAGTCCTTTATTTCTACCCTGATCTTTTCAAACAGATCAAGGAAAAGTATGAGCCAGATGTGGCAACACTGGAGGTCCTTTTTCTGACTGCTATGTTGAAAACCATTTTATTCCAGTTACAACTTTGCTGAGGAATTATATCTTAAAGGAAATATCTACAAAAGTGGCCCATATTATATAGAAAATAGCTATTTTTTTTTGTCTGACATATCAGCCAGTGAAAGGGAAGAGTTGAGTTGCAGTAATAAAGATTTCACAAGACCCTATAGAAGTCTCTGCCCTGATCTTTTAATATCTTTGTCAACTGCCTCTGAATATCATTCTTCTGGTTCTTGAAGATATTAAGTGTGTTCATATTTGTGCTTTATACCACATAAGCTAGTTATTCAATCTCCAAATTGCAGAATGGGAAGATTTTGCTCTCCATGTTCCCAGAGACTTTCGGATGAGTTGGAGAACATTTATAATACATAAACATTCAAAGGGCATTTTTGCATTTTGAAATTGCTTATGCATACATAAAAGAGATCCTTTATTTTGGGGGGCTTTTTTGCAAACTCAGTTCATCTGTCATTACTCTATGGCAGCACAACTCAGTCTTCTTGTTTTGTTTGGATAAATTGCTCTTTTTGACTTTTCTTCAACTGTATATGAAAAAAAATGGCCATTTATCTGAAAAACCAAGAGTTATTTTGATTTGAGCTTCAGGCTCATTTGTACAAGTTAATTTCCAAGTCGGCTTCCTATCGATCAAAATGGACACCCTCACAAATAACACATCTGTCATGGTCCTTGAAGCTGCTCCATATGTTTAGCATAGAAAAGATACAGGCACATAAGGGCTTAAGACCTACAGTTGCAAATGCTAAGATAGCAAGCTCTGACTTTGTACCCAAAGAAATGATCCTGGGAGATATTGGGTGGAAATGTCCATGGAAGACAGTTTGGACAGAGTGCTATGCTGTGCTGCTCAGATCTGCTCCCCCCTTTCAGGACTGGATCCCTCACTCCTTTCACTCATTCTTCCCATTGCTGGAGTGCTGGTGGCTGAAAGCTATGAGCAGATACTCATGGAGGACTGTTTTCTGCCAAAGAGAGCACCTCACTCATGCTGACCCTCTTCCTGAAGTCAGCCTGCACCCAGTGACTGACTCATGCAGCAGTCCAAAGGCTGAGACCCCTTCCCTCAATTTCAACTCTGAAGGGCCAGCAGTTATGTGCCGAATTGGGCCCCATCCCATCCATGAGTTGAAGTCCTAACCCTCAGGCCCTCAGAATATGACTGTAATTGGAGTTAGTCTTTAAAGAGGTAATTAAGGTAAAATGAGATAATTGAGTGGGATCTAATCCAATAGGACTCGTGTCCTCAAAAGATGTTATCAGTGGGGTGCCTGGGTGGCTCAGTCAGTTAAGCTTCCAACTTTGGCCCAGGTCATGATCTCACAGTTCATGAGTTCGAGCTCTGCACTACATCAGGCTCCTTGCTGTCAGTGCAGAGCCCTATTCAGATCCTCTGTCCTCCCTGCTCTCTGCCCCTCCCCCAACCCCCCCACTGCCTGTCAGAAATGAATAAACATTTTTTAAAAGATGTTATTAGGACACCAACACATATAGAGGGAAGACCATGTGAGGACACAGGCACAAGATGGCCATCTATAAGCTAAGTGTTGACCCTGCTAATGCTTTGATCTTAGACTTCTAGCCCCGAGAAGTATAAGAAAATAAATTTCTGTTGTTGAAGCTACCTCATCTGTGAAACTTTGTCATGGCAGTCCCAGCAGATAAATACATCTCTCAGCATCAGAGCTCCTGATGGGTTCAACTTCTCCCTCTTCTCAATCCTGTTTCCCTCATTCCATCCTTCTCCCTGCCAGGTATTGATCATGAGCTAATAAACCCCTGGATTGTAATACCCTTCTAGTCCACTTCCCAGAAAACTTGACCCATAACCTCTATTTTTGGCAATCTGAATTATTTTCTTTTCATGCCCACTTTCTACATCTGATAGTCACACATGTAGCCTGCCACCTAAGGTCTACCCAACAGCTAAGTCTGCTACCAGCTTCTTGTGGAAAAGCTACCATATTCTTTGCTTGGGCTGACCAATGGTTAAGAGGCCAGGATTGGTTTCAAAAGAGCATTCAAAGTCAATATACATGATAAATGTGTCCTAAATAAAGTGACAGCATATATGTTGAGATTGGGGATCCATCTGCCACTCACTTCTGGGAAATGAGTCTCTCAAAACTCTTTGTGTCCTCTATTCTGAGGACTGGAAACTGGGCCCATGGGCCCATTGCAACTGTGCAAGGAAAGTCACAATAAGTCAAGGTAAGGTCTATCTTTTTTTTTTTTTTAATGTTTATTTTTGAGACAGAGAGAGACAGAGCATGAGCAGGGAAGGGGCAGAGAGAAAGAGAGGGAGACACAGCAGGCTCCAGGCTCTAAGCTATCAGCACAGAGCTTGATGTGGCCTTGAACTCATGGACTGTGAGATCATGACCCAAGCCGAAGTTGTACGCCCCATTGACTGAACCATCCAGGCACCCGAGTGGCTGAAGCCGCCCAGAGCTGAGACACATTTCTGTGGATATATTTCCTGTTTCTAATGCTAGATGTATCTTTTTATACAAAAGTAATCAATTTCTTGGGCACCTGGGTAGCTCAGTTGGTTAATTGTCTGACTCTTGATTTCCTGAGTTTGAGCCCTGTGTCAGGCTCTGTGCTGACAGCATGGAGTCTGCTTGGGATTCTCTCTCTCCCTCTCTCACTGCCCTTCTCCTGCTTGTGCTCTCTCTCTCTCTCTCAAAATAAATCAATAAATGTTAAAAAAAATAAAGGGTAATCAATTTCCTTATATGTAAGAGGTGAGTTACTTAAAGGGATTTTAACAAATCCATAAAAGAGAAAGTGAGTCTATGTGGTCTAGAGAGGTGTTGTTGATAGGCACTGTGATGCCCTGTCCATATCCTCTCAGGAGGCCTTAGTCAAGCCAAGAGAAGACCCAAGCATCTGCATTTCTGTGTCTGGTGGTGTTCTTAGGCTTGGAGATTCTGACCAAATATCTAGGTTGTTCTTGACCAAAGACAGGAGTTGATGTTAACTTCCCCTGCTTAATTTCCCATGGGTGGGCAAAACCAGGGTTCTCAAGAGGGATAAAATTCAGGTTTCTGAGAGTGGTATGCCCCATGCTCATCTTCTTTACCCCTCTCCTTCACCCACAAATAATCTATCTGCCCTCTAATCCCTGTCTCGGGGTCTGCTTTTGGGAGAACCCAAATCAAGAAGAAAAATAGGAAGCATATTGGTCAAATATCAGCTTATTCTCTCAGTATCCAGCCTATCAAAGGTTAATTTGATATAATTCAGCTTCTAACTCACTTAAGGTCTGGATCTCCTTCCCATGTTTTGCTTGTACTTGCATGATGCCCTCAGTACCCTTCAACTGAGACACAGTGCCAGGAATAGGTCTTTTGACTCAAAGTTCTTCTTCACAATGTAGTCGGTGACATTAAATTACCCTGCCAATGATGGAGCTATTGTTTATCAAGCACTCATGCAGCTTCGTATCAACCCAGCTAACCCAGCTGCAATCCTCTATTGTATATTTCATACTCCTGCTTCTGAGAACACTCCGGTTCCTTTTTCTTTTATTTGATTAAGAACATCTGCAGAGGTGGTTCAGCTACAAAAGTTAGTAATTAATCTTTTTTTGTCACAGTAATTAAAAATTTCAAGGAAGAATTGTCATTCACTGCTGCTTATAAGGTTGCCCACAGCGGACAGTGCTTTATAAAAAGCCAACAAATCATGACTTTAAAAATAAATAAATATCTCTCCTCAAAATGGGAATGCTATGCCAAGTCACAAGGTGGCTCTGAAGCCTGGTCACGATGCTCAAAGGATGGAGTCCACCACATATCTATGCAGACCCGTCGTGTGCATTCTCATTTTCCCCACATTTCCATTAGCATTTGACACGCGTGCAGATATCATTTACAGTTCAAAGGAATCTCATTAACATATCATCCGAAAGACCATTTTTTGTGAGGACAAAAGCTGTTTTTCTCAAGCTGGTGTCCCTCCCACTCCCACAAGAAAGAATCTTTTTGTTCAAAGGCAAAGCCCAAGAGAACAATCATTCTTGAGTAATTTTCCATAGGTTCAAGGTTCATACAGCAAGAAGTAGCAAACCGAAGTAGTTCTATTCAAAATGCCCTCTGAGGGCTGGCTGTTGGCAGCAGCGATGGGTGCACGTTTGTGGGGTATATGTGTGGGTGGGTGTTTGTATGGAGTATATAAAAGAGAGACGGGAAGAGAAAAGAGTGCTTCATCTGTCCCTCGTTTTGGCCACCTTCTGCTGGAGAGTTATCTGCTTCCAACCATGGACTGTTACTTTGCATTTTTATCTACTTGTAGCTACTTCTTACCAGCTCTTTCTCTGAATGCCAGATAGAGGAACTTGTCCCCGACTAAACTGTAAGTCCTTAGGGAGACACTGCCTTTTTCTTTAGTCATCTTTCTACCTAG